ACACACACACACACACAGATGGGAGGGAACACACACTCACAGACAGACGTTCACACACACAGATGCATATACACACACACACAGACACACACAGAGACTTGTACACACACACACACACACACACACAGTCAGACGCGTATACACACACACAGATACATGCGCGCGCACACACACACAGATGCGTACACACACACATAGTCAGACAATTATACACACACACAGATACACGCACACACACACACACACACACAGATGTGTACACACACACACAGTCAGATGCGTATACACACACACAGATACACGCACACACACACACACAGATGTGTATACACACACACACACACACATAGTCAGACGCATATACACACACACAAATACACGCACACACACACACACACACAGACCCTCACACACACACACACACACACACACACAGATGCGTATACACACATACGCCTATACACACACACAGAGACGTGTACACACACACACACGCTCAGACGCGTATACACACACACAGATACACTCACCCACACACACACACAGACACATACACAACTGTTGCAAGATGTAAAGGAGAAAGAGGGAGGGGTGGTGGGAGAAGGTGGGGGGTATATGTTTTTGGGAGAGGTTGGTGCCCAGGACCCACACTGAGACTTACGTCAGTCTTAAGAGAGTCGCAGGTTCTCACCAGGATACAGATCTCCTTTCAGCCTGTCTCCCTGGCCTCCCGAAACCACTTGCCGGTCTTCCCGAAGACAAAGCGGAGTGTGGGCTCATTGGCAGTCCTGTGGAAAAGACAGAGCTTAAGCAATTTAACAAGGTGCAAGGTACAGGAGACGTGTGCGTGGGAGGGGACGTGTGTGTGTGTTTTGTGAGATACAGAGAACACTTTCTCAGCAGATTGCACCCTCTAACTTCTATAAGGAAAGCGGCTGGTTAGTTGCCCCACAGGTGGGCCCCACCACGGGCGTGTTAAAGGGGCAATGTCACCATCCTGCACCGCCCCTCTTAACCAGTGTCCTTGGGTCGCCCACCGCCCCCGCAGTGCGCACAAAGGCAGGTGCCCACGTTTGCCTGCACAGGGTGACCAAATGCTTGATACTCATTGGGCCATACAGCTCAGAAACAGGCCCTTCGGCCCAACTCGTCCATGCCGACCAGATATCTTCAATTCATCCCATTTGCTAGCATTTGGCCCCTACCCCTCTCAACCCTTACTATCCATGTCCCCATCCAGATGCCTTTTAAATGCTGTAATTGTACCAGCCCCCAGTCACTTCCTCTGGCAGCTCGTTCCATACACGCACCACCCTCTGTGTGAAAAAGTTACCCCTCAGGTCCCTTTTAAATCTTTCCCCCTTTCACCTTAAACCTATGCCCCTCTAGTTTTGGACTCCCCCACCCTGGGGGGAAAAGACCTTGCCTATTCACCCTATCCATGCCCCTCATGGTTTTATAAACCTCTGTAAGGTCACCCCCTTAGCCTCCGACGCTCCGGGGAAAATAGCCCCCAGCCTATCCGGCCTCTCCTTATAAATCAGACCTTCGAGCCTCAGTAACATCCTGGTAAATCTTATCCAAACCCTTTCAAGTTTCACAACATCCCTCCTGTAGCAGGGAGACCAGAATTGAACGCAGTATTCCAGAAGTGGCCCTAACCAATGTCCTGTACAGCTGCAACATGACCCTCCCAACTCCTATACTCAATGCACTGACCCATAAAGGCAAGCATACCAAATACCTTCACTGTCCTGTCTACCTGCAACTCCACTTTCAAGGAACTATGAACCTGCACCCCTAGGTCTCTTTGTTCAGCAACACTCCCCAGGACCTTACCATTAAGTATATAAATCCTGCCCTGATGTGCCTTTCCAAAATGCAGCACCTCACATTGATCTAAATTTAACTCCATTTGGTTACTGAGACAGGGAGGGGGTGTAGGGGTCTGGAGGGAGTCCTCATCTCAGTCCGATCTCATCTCCTTTAGACTGTGATCCTCTCTGGTTCCTGACTCCCCCGCTTTCCCATCCTCAGGAACTGTCTAGTCCTGTTAGAATTTTATAGGTTTCTATCAGATTCCCTTCCCACATCCTTCTAAACTCCCAGTGTATACGGTCCTAACCTGATCCGGTCTCTCTCTCTCTCCATCCGTCAATCCTGCCATCCCAGGAATCAGTCTTCGCTTCACTCCCTCTGTAACCAGAACCATCCTTCCTCAGATAGGGAGACCCCCGAACCGCGCACATAAGCCTCCAGGGGTTGGTCATACCTTGTCCAGTCGCAGTGAGAGATCCATGCCCCTGGTCTCCGACCCTTTCACTCTGAAGGGTCATTTCCCATTGGCTTTCTTTGCAAAGCTTACTGGCATACAGTCTCACAATTTCGCAATCTATCTCCGCTCAGATAGCGCTCTACCTTCCTGTAAGTTTGTCTCTCAAAGTAGATAGCCCTAGCACAAAACCACATCAAATATGAATTTGCAAATCTGTCAACCAGTTCCGATCTCCATGCTCCCCACCCCCACCCCTTCCAGCGCTGTGCAAATTCAGAGCTGTCACACTAAGTTCCCTCATCTGAGTCATGACCCATGTATTGTGAATCACGGAGGACAGAGAGAGGCAGAGAGAGATGGAAAGAGAGGGAGGTTAAGGGAGAGATTTTGCGAGCTGAGACCCACCTCTCCCTCCACCCGGAATTTACTGTTACTGAAGATATTAAACTGGAAAAGGGTGCAAAAAAAAGATGTGCTGGAATATCACCAAGACTTGGAAGGTCTGATTCATAAGGAGAGGCTGGGGGCTATTTTCCCTGGAGCGTCGGAGGCTGAGGGGTGACCTTATAGAGGTTTATAAAATCTTCAGGGGCATGGATAGAGTAAATATACAAGGTCTTTTGCCCCAGGGTGGGGGAGACCCAATCTAGAGGGGCACAGAAGTTTAAGGTGAGGGGAGGAAGGATTTACAAGGGACCTGAGGGGTAACTTTTTCACACAGAGGGTGGTGCGTGTGTGGAACGAGCTGCCAGAGGAAGTGGGTGGGGACTGGTACAGTTACAGCATTTAAAAGGCATCTGGATGGAGACATAGACAGCAAGGGTTTAGAGGGATAGGGGCCAAATGCTGGCGAATGGGACGAGATTAATTTAGGATAATCTGGGTCGGCACGGACGGGTTGGGCCGAAGAGTCTGTTTCCGCTCTGTAGGTCTCTATTGTTCTATGTTTGGCTGAATTTGCCCTGGCCTAGGGTGTGCTTGTGGGATGCTCCTACAGTAGAACAGTGGATGAACAGTAGCTAGTGAATATATTATTGCAGACATAATTCTTTGGTGTGTATTTTTACTGTGTTTGAACGAGAAGGTATATTTTCCTTAAACCAGCATAGTTGACCAATCGAACCACAAGTGGAACATGGCCCCTTTCACTTGCCTGTGAATAAAATAACAATTTAGGGTCTAGGCTAGCTCCTTGATATATTCTGAGGGTGTTTGGTCTGGTCTATTGCAGCTGCACAGGTACAAAGAGAGCACTGAGTGAAACACACATTTATTAATCCGGCCTGTTGTCTAATTCCCGCTTTAAAACAAGTTACAGGCAACTCAGACCAAAATGTTAGGATTGTATTTGCCCAGGTGTCTCACAATACCAGAATGGTCAAATCCCTCCCAACACAGGCTCGTCCCACTGCAAAATAGTCCCAACTTCATCGGGAACAAAATTACAAGAACCTTTAATATTAAACAGACTCTCTCTGATCCTAGTCAGCCCCTTAAGCTTACAATTCTTCCTGAATCTCTTGTAGATTTACACCGTCACATTCTCTCTCTGTCTCCATCTCTCTCTATCTCTCCCCATCTCTCTGTCTCTCCATCTCTCTCTCTGTCTCCATCTTTCTCTGTCTCTCCATCTCTCTCTCTCTGTCTCCAGACAGTCAGTGGATCTCTGTCTCCTGCCTTGCCGATCTCCTCAGGAGGTCCAGGGGATTCAAGAGTGAACCATGTTTTTAGATGATTTTTCTGGAACTTCCTGTGGTCCTGGGCCAATCAAGGAGACTCACCTAATAGTTCGCTAATAGAGACGATCATTTGGAAGGCTTGCTGCTTTCCGTGTAGCCAGACCCAGTGGATCAGGGATAGTAGGAACTGCCGATGCTGGAGAATCTGGGATAACAAGGTGTAGAGCAGGATGAACACAGCAGACCAAGCAGCATCAGAGGAGCAGGAAGGCTGACGTTTCGGGCCTAGACCCTTCTTCAGAAAAAATGCTTGGCCTGCTGTGTTCATCCAGCTCTACACCTTGTCATCCCAGGGAGTCAGGGCCCTGTTTGGTTTGGTAAGGTAAGTTGTTGGGGATAGGTCTGCCCAAGATAACTGTTGCCTTTTACGTTGTGTTAATGCCGTTAGAACCAGAAAATGCTGCGTTTGTACCGTGGCTGGTGAGTGGGTCTTGTGAGTTCTGAGTTTCACTTGGCCGATTACCCAGCATGCCTCGCGGTTTGGCCAATTTAGCGATCTACCAGTTGGAAGCTGCCATCGGGGGACAGCATATTCAGGAGGACGACGTTAAACTTGAATAAGAACATTATGAGAGCTCGGCTCGGAGAACCATGTTACAGATCCGGGCTCGGACATCGCGGGGAGGGCGGGGAGACATTCAGGAGAAGCGGATCGCAGGATGAGGAACGGGCTTCGATCGACGACGTCGGGAAGCCTTCTCCTCAGAGAGAGAGAGGTTTCCGAAACAGTGAGGGATGCTGGGCAGAGTGGACGGGAGAGGTGGAGTTTGATTCTTGGGGGGGTGGGGGGGGCGCAGTGGGGGAATTCCCACTGGGAGAGGGGGCATGGATTGAAGTTAACATGCAAGCGCAGCGAGGGTGAAAGGCGAGGAAAGTGTTTCTCACCCCGCGAAGGGTGTGGAGTGCACTTCCCAGGAATATGGTGGGGACAGGTTCGAGGGAGATGGGGCAATGGGTGGGTATCTGGGGCACAAGGGTTACAGGGAGGGAGCACAGGGCAGGAGACTGGCATGAGGGGATAGAACCGGTGGAGACACGATGGGCAGAACAGCCTCCTTCCTGTGCAATAATTTCATTGAGAAACCAAACTGGGGGATGGGTGGGAAGGCCCACGACATGACTGTCGGACAGAACTGGGAAATCCGCCATCTGTACCTGGTCTGGCCTCTATGTGACTCCATACCCACAGCCATGTGGTTGACTCTCAATCCGACCTCCAGAAATGGTCCATGATAGCCATCCGGTTGAAAGGGGCATTTAGAATCAGGGTAGTTACACTCAATGGTGTTACCATGACTGAATCCCTACCCCCCCAACAATCAACGTCCTGGGGGTTCCCATTGACAAGAAACTGAGCCGGACCCAGCCCCATATAAACACAGGGGCTACAGGAGCAGGTCAGAGGCTGGGAATCCTGCAGCGAGTAACTCCCCTCCTAATCTTCCTCCAAAGCCCTGTCCCACCATCGACAAGGCACAAGGCAGGAGGGAGAGGGAATACCCCCCACTTGCCTCTGGATGGGGGGCAGCTCCGACAACACTCGAGAAACTCGACACCATCCAGGGACAAAGCAGCCCCCACCCCCCCCCCCCGCACGATAGGCCCCACCTCCACCAACAACCCCTCCTCCCCAGCACCGCTCCGGCACAGCCGCAGCAGTGTGTACCATCTACAAGATGCCCTGCAGAGACTCACCGAGGCTCCTTAGACAGCACCTTCCAAACCCCCACGGCCACTTCCATCCAGAAGGACAAGGGGGGCAGCAGGTACATGGGAACACCAGCACCCCCACCCCCTCCTCCGCCCAGCCAGCAATGCCCACATCCCACTCAATGGAGTAAAAATATGTGCATGGCACCCAGACCACACCCACAGTCAGGATCCTCGCCCCAGTTCAGGGAAATCCTATCGTGTGCATTTTTATGACCCTCTCTGTGCAAATGCAGAGCTGTCTCTGGTTGTTAGAGTTGTACCCAAGTCCCCCACGTGAACCGCAGTGGGGATGTGAGCTCCGAGGGACGCGCCAGTAATATTACCGCAGCTGGTTTAGAACAAAGAACAGGAACAGGCCCTTTGGCCCATCCAGACTGTGCTGTGCCCTTCTGAACTAAAAAGCCCTCGGGTCCCCCTGCGCAGTGCCTATCCCTCCAATTCCCTGCCAAGTTTTATATCTGTCAAGTCGCCTCTTAAAAGTTGCTACTGTATCTGTTTCTCCTGCCTCCCCTGGCATTTATCACCCTCCGTGTTAAATACCTGCCTGTCTCTTTTAAATTGACCCCGCTGTTACATTAGACCTACGTTCCCTTAGTCATTGACATTTCTACCCTGGGCAAGGGATAAAAAAAAAATCTGTTCTGTCCAGGCCTCTCAAGATTTTGTAAACCCCACCACCCCCCCAGCCTCCATGTTTGTCCACTCACTCCTCGTGGCTAATACCTTCCAGACCGGGCAACATCCTGGCACACCTTCTCTGTACCCCCTCCAAAGCATCCACACCCTTCTGCTAGTGTCACAGCATTCTCCAAATGTGGCTGAACTGACGTCCTGCACTCTTGCCTCTCAACTTGCCCCATTTCTCTCGCCTATCGTCCCAGCCAGTGTATAGCAAATATTTGCCTTCTCGACCGACTTATCTTAAGATGACAATGAGAGCTCAATCGATTGGGTCAATGGACCAAGGAGTGGCAGACGGAGATTAATTTGGAGAAATGCGAGGTGTTGCATTTTGGTAAAACAGACAAGGGCAGGGCTTTATACAGTTAATGGCGGGGCCCTGGGTAGTGCTGTAGGACAGAGGGACCTTGTGGTTCAGGTACATCATTTCCTGAAGTTGGTGAGACAGGTACACAGGGTGGGTAAGGCAGCGTTTGGCCTTCATTGCTCAGACCCTTTGAGTATCGGAGTTTGGGGACATTATGCTGAGGTTGTACAGGGACGTTGGTGAGGCCTCTTCTGGAGAACTGTGTCCAGTTCTGGTCTTCCCGCTACAGGAAGGATATGATTAAACTGGAGAGGGTTCGGGAGAGATTTACCAGGTTGTTGCCGGGAATGGTGGGTTTGGGTTTTGAGGAGAGGGCTGGATAGGCTGGGAATTTTTTCCCTGGAGCGTAGGAGGCTGAAGGGGTGACCTTGTAGAGGTTTATAAAATCACAAGGGGCATGGATAGGGTGAAAGGCAGGTGTCTTTTCCCCAGGGTAGGGGTGATTCCAAACCAGAGGACCATATTTTAAGGTGAGAGGAGAAAGATTTAGAAAAAAGACATAAGGGCGATTTTTTTTTTAAACTCAAAGGGAGCGGTTCGCGTGTGGAATGAACTTCCAGAGGAAGTGGGTGGGTGCTGCTCTAGTTACAGCGTTTAAAAGATATTTGGATAAAGACATGGACAGGAAAAGTTTGGAGGGATCGGACTAGGTCAGTTTGGGGATGGTGGGTTGGCACAGACCGGTTGGGGGGCCGGAGGGTCTGTCTCCGTGCCGCGTGACCCTAAGACTCTCTGAGATTGATTCGAGCTGTTCCGAGAGCCCTCCCATTCTCCCCCTGACCCACAACTCCCTTGGAGAGAAACAAAGCCTCGGCAGCGACCGTGGAGGGTTAAAAGCGGAGGAAGGGGCCGGCCCTTCGTCTTCATCTCTGGCAGCGCTGCATCTGGAGGACGGGGAAGGGAGCCCCCCACCCCCCGTGCTGGTTTTCCTTGTGGTTTTCCTGTTGAGCAGAGCCTGCACGTCTCCCCGAACCGTTCGGACGAGCGAATCGGCGAAAGGGAAAGGAGAGCAAAAGAAAAGAGAGAGGGAGAGAAGTTCGCATCAGTGAGGCTGAACTCAAACGTACAGAGCCACCGCCGCTGTGGGGGAGGGAAGCAGAAGCGAGTGAGAGACCGGGAGAGCCAGTTACCTGAAAGGTGAGGGATCCCTGCCTCCTGAAGAGATAAGGACCCCCACGGATGGTCAGCGGGACTGGATTTCTGAATGGTTACTGGGATTGCTCCTCGACCTCCCCGTTCTCTCTCTCTCTCTCTCGCTTCCTGCCCCCCCACCCCAAACCAAACCATGAAACCAGCCCATGTGACCAATCTGCCGGGCTAAGGAGTTTTTAATTCTGCAGGAGCAGACAAAATATCCCCCCCACCCGCGTTTCCATGCCCAGTGCTTGGTCAGTGCCACGTGAGCGGTGGCAAGGGGGGAGCTTCTAAAGAGGAGGGAGTGTCTCTAAACAGGAGGAAGTGTCTTTAAACTGGAGGGGGTGTCTTTAAGCTGGAGGGAATGTCTGTAAGGAGGATGGAGGATCTGTAAGGAGGAGGGAGGGTCTCCAAAGTGGAGGCAGGGTCTCCAAACTGGAGTGAGGGTCATTAAAGTGGAGGGAGGGTCTCTAAAGAGGATGGAGTGTCATTAAACTGGAGGGAGGGTCTCTAAAGTGGATGGAATGTCATTAAACCGGAGGGAGGGTCTCTAAAGTGGAGGGAGGGTCTCTAAAGAGGAAGGAGTCTCTCTAAAGTGGAGGGAGTGTCTCTAAAGTGGAGGGAGAGTCTCTAACCTGCGACTCCCTCCCTGGCCCTGCCTTGCTGAGCCATTAGCCTGCCTGAGTTTCTGGCAGTAGCCACATTGCAGGGAACACCCCCTCCTCCCCACTCCCAGGGCCAGCCGCTGTGTCGCCACCACCCCCCCCCCCCCCACCCCCCCCCCGCCCCCCCCCCGCC